ATATACATAAAATGATTTCTGTTTACCAACAAACTGAATATAATAAAGGATATTGGCAAGATGGCCAAAGTGAAAAAAAAAGTTTAATTTTTTTTGATTTTAATTAACAATTATTTAATCAAATTTGATTTAAATTTGTAAAATTTTAATAAAAAAACTTTATAAAATTTGGTTAAATAGTTTGTGAAATACTTTTAATTAATATTAAAAAAACTTAAATAAAAATATAAAAATATCAAAAAAAATAAAAATATCAAAATCTTAAATATATTTATTTTTAATTTTTTTATAAATATTTTTTATATATTAAAAATTTTAGTTTTTTATATATATTTAGCCCAAAACCTAATACTTGTAAATAAATCTGCTATTATCATCCAGTTTTTGTAAAATTTATTCAAATTCTAGTATTTGCTTTATAATATATTTTTAGTATTTTACATAATAGTCTTTTACAGTTTTTTAAACTTTCAATTCAAATAACCCAAAAGAACTATAGTAAAAAATAGATTATACTAAAATAAAAAATATTAAGTTTAAAAGTTAAATCTTTATTTTAACTTTAATAGAATTCTAAATTCTAATTTTAAAAAAATCTTACTATATTTTATAAAATTAGATTTAATATTAAAATAAAATTTATTTTTTTAATAAAAATTAAATTATAATTTAAAATAAAATTTATAATTCTAATTAGAATTTTCACTATAATCTATTTTTACTATAATCTACAATAATAATTATAAACAATTTTTAGCTTCTAATTTTAAAAAGTATCTACAATAATATTATATGACGCTTCTCTATAAATTATGCAAAGCTTATGATAATATCTGTAAACGAATTATTGGTAATAATCAAGAACAGTACCATTTGGATATGTTCAAATAGCTCGCGAGAACATGCCACTGAGCCTATTAAGAGCTTGTACCAAGAATTATTAAGACGAAGATTAGGGCAAGAAGCTCTATTTCCAGAGTACCGGACGAGTATTATATGTTCAAAATGAATGAACAGCCCATTACGATTCTGGCCATTCAAAGTATGCAACAGCACGTGTAAGTTTCTATAAAGTTTCTATAAAAGCTTAAATGAGAATTTTATCACTATTTATTTATAATTTTTTTTTTTTACTCTTTAAAATCGTGATATAAACGCATGCCGTAATATTCGCCGTCTGTTCCTTTCTATGAATTCTAACAATGGTGAACAGTTAAAACACTTCTAGACGATCTAAATAAGGAGAAGGGCTGAAATGAAGATGAAAGAGTAATCGTTCGTCGTAGCTATATCGGGAATAAGTCGGGTGGGACTGATGACTGTATAACATGTCTGTAAAGTTATTGCTATTCATTTTTTTTAAATGTTCTACGTGTTAAACAAGGTTAGATTAGTAACATATTACCGTAAAGCGGGTGAAGCTTTAAAAAAAAAGGTTGAACCCTATTACGTTAATTTAGGTAATACTAAATTTGATCAATTCCCAAAATTTTTTTGGGTGATCAAGAATGACATAAAAAATTGGATATCTTTGATAAATTTCAAGAATATAAATTGAATATATAACTGAAGAATATGTCAGTCAATCAATGAATTATTCCAAATTGATACGGTGGATAATTTGTATGCTAACATGTAATGATATCATTATTTTTTTTACAACCTATCAAAGTCGCAACTCTAAGTAGGGACGACAATGATACTGAAACGATAGCGATGAGTCACAAAAAGAACATCATCATTAGGACAGAAATAACTGAATTGACTCGAACGTTAGTATAATGGATCGACGATTTGCAGTTATTATTACTATCAATGTTTTTAGAACACAATCTCAATTGATTCTATCTCAAGATTTGCTACAATATAAAAAGTTTCTTCTTTTTATAATTATTGCACCGCATTTAAGGGCCACATTCCCATATATAATATAATCATGCAATTAAAATAATTCAATCAATCATGCTGAATTTTTTTATAGTGGTAAAATTCGTTGACTAATGGCATCTTTGAAGTATACCAATACGTTTTCGTTATCTAACCTATTTTAAATTGAAGGTTTGAGTTACGTAATACTCGGATAATTTGGGAACCAATACTAATAATGGTTAAAGGGCTTTGATCAAGTTTTATCGCCAAATCTTGAGTTATGAACGATGGTCCTTGCGGTGATGTTTATGCATGCCAATATCAATAATTGTTGTTTTTTTTCTGTGGTTAACACCAAAGCATGACGATTTCTAGAATCAATTTTCTTAAACATAAAAAAGGTCATAACTGATTGATTGAAAATTCATCGCACCAACCAGAAAATTTATGATTTATTGATATAAAAATTTTTTAATGAATGCGATATTCACAATGACATATACATGCAAACACGCCTTTAAAAATTTATATCGTGAAATCATTGATCATCCCAGAAACCTATATATAGTTTTATTACATATGCACAGATTTAATATATTTATAAATAGATTAAAAAAAAAAAATATAAAAATAACAGTAAATAATAACAGTAAATATAATGATCACAAACTTTAAATTTTAAGTCTCAAATATCAATAGCGCGATAACTGTATGCAAAGTAACCATATTTTAATAAATGTGTTCAAAACTAAATCTTTCACATTGAAAAAAAAATTTCTTCCGTTAAAATATAGATTTTGACTATCAAAAAATGATTTCTTCAAACACGTTACTTTTCAATAAAAAACATTCTGTTTATTATAGAGAGAAACATCATTCTCTCTCTTTACCTTCACCTCCACCTTCACCTCATGAATCAGCATTGAAAGGATTATTTGGAATCAGTGAAGTGTTGCCTAAATTTGACGCCATCAATAATACATTGCTTAACTCACAACAAAATGAAACGTCAAATACTTTTTTTCCTTCTATAAAATGTTTATTAGATACACCAATCGACCATTTAGATAACAGTAGAAAAACAGAGTCGATAAATAAAACAACGCCATCACATTGTCTTTCTAGATTTTCATTATCAAATGCTAAGTCATCCCCACTTAAGACGAGCCACACGATACCTGAGTTAGTCTTTAATGATAATAGCTCGTCTTATTACACTAATCAGGATAAAAATAATATAAACACTTGTAGAACCTCTGTTAATCGGCAGCACAATAACTTTAGGAATCCTTATCTTCCCCAAGCCTCCAGCATAAGTTCATCTTTAATAACACCTAAAATTGAGGATCCTATTAACTCTCCAAAATTTTCATTCACGCAATCTCAGCCTACACTTGAACCTAAATCGTACGAGTTTCTTCCAGAAAAAGATACAGAATTTAAAACTCAAGAATTAAATGTTCAAAAATTAAATACTCAAGAGTTACATGCAGCTCAAAAGTTAAATACTCAAGAGTTACATGCAGCTCAAAAGTTAAATGCGTTACCAATTTATCAGTTATCAACAAAGAGACAACAACGTCCAAGAAGTATCCAAACTAAACGTTCAGGTACCTCTGCACCTCAACGCAAACGAAAGGGAAATAGCCTAGCTAGAGTAATGGCTGATCAAGGGCTTTTAGAATCAGTTTTCAATACTAATATTACTTCAAATGATATAAAGTCAGTTCGAATACCACCACCACTTCCGATGCAATTTGATGAATTAATGTCTAATATCAATGCGCTTGATCTTGATACTGATGCACTAGAAAAGATATCACCCGAAATTTCTTGGAAGGGACAGCCATTATCTATTGCACATTTACCTCATTATAACGCTTTGCACCCTACAGAAGCACGTATAGTGTCTGTTCTTCGTCTTACTCCAATACAATATCTAACTGGGAAGCATACGCTCATTTCAGCAGCTCATAGATACGCTCAAAAGGCACTCCCATTCAAGAAAAGTGATGCACAAAAGCTACTTCGAATTGATGTTAATAAAGCTAGTAAATTGTGGGAATTTTTTCATCAAGTTCATTGGATCTAAAATAATTTTATCGCAAGTAATAAAAAAAGGCTTTATTAGGTCACACTGGTGGTGTCTAACACCATAGTTGCTACCATCAAAGTACTCAAGTGATTAGCACTTGATGATGATGAACTAAGCAAAAATACTTAAACGTCCCAAAACACTTATTCCCCTTATCCTAAATTTTATTCTAAATTTTATTCTAAAATTTATCCTAAATTTTTATTCTAAATTTTATCCTAAATTTTTATCCTAAATTTTAGTGTAAACATATATATGGTGTTGAGCATTACTGGTGTGATTTACAGTAGAATTATTGAAAAAAATGAAAAAAAAAATACATTTATTTCGGGCATTATATTTTCATATAACGCCGACATATTCTGCAACTTTTTCTTGGCTCTGCTCATGTTACATTTCTGTAAATACGATTTAACTAATACATGTATAGATACAAATATTTCTTTTTCTATATATTTAAATTCGTGTAAAAAAAGTTCATATTTTCTGCAATAAATTTTCTTTTAAACATTGCACGTATCAAACATTAGTGACATTAAATAAAAGATAAATATGGCGTAACTTATTAGTACCGACAGTAATCTTTGTAATTGTTTTGTGTTTCAGAGAAAATTTTTTTCGTAGAATAGATTGAAAAAAGTTACTAGAATTTAATTGTTTTTTTCCAAATAAGCTTAATACCAATAACATTATTAGTCAGCATTCATTCATCAAACCTTAATTCCGGGTCCTCCGGTTTAGTTCCGGAAAATTTATTCAAAAATTGTTTCACGTGTGTTTTCTTGTATGAAATATATCTAACCGAATTAGCACATATATATATTAGCGTTAGTTACCTAGTGCATTAGTCCTTACATTCCCCTAAATGAGAGGTGACATTTCATATAATACACCAAATTTTTAAAAAACCGAATGGATGTATCGATCATTTAGTCATTATTTTAATGCCGGATTTGTTTCCCTATTATGGTATGGGGAGTAGACTTTTCTTAAAACTTTTACAAATAAGGAAATTTATAGAAGGCCAATGCGCAACTACGTTTAGGAATTTGAAATCAATTGCTCCTTAATTATCATAAAATGAGCCACTTACGAGCATGGACGTACATAAAAGCCAGTATACGATTTTTAGTAGTTTGTTTCATAAAATTGTACATAGCATATATTCTTGTTTACTTATCAGTTATAGTAAACAGTTGAAATATCTCTAGATTTCCTTGGCAATGAATTTTTTTTGTTGTGGTTACCCCATTTATCGTTATGACGACATTTTAGAGGTTTTAAATCTGGAAAAGTCCAAATTATCGCAAGGCTAAGAAAGTAATATTTGTTTTGCATAACGATAATACGTTACAGTACATCTGAAGTGTAAAAATATAACATATTAGGCAACAGATTGATGATCAAAGTTTCACTAAGTACTATATCAATAAATGAATATACTTGAATATACTTGAATATACTTTCTTTAAGTTATTCTGTGCAGTGCAAATTTCGCATAGATCCGTTCTTTTTTGTGTCAACTATAGTAATATTATTTAAAAAATGAGAATGGCTTATTCAAGAGAATTACAAAAAAATTATATAATTTTTGGGCACTTAGTAATTAAACATTTTTTTTCAACAAAATCGAACAAGACTAGTTAGTATCCCCGAATTGATCCTTGCAAATCTTTAACAAATATTTTTCCGATTGCATCTTATATAAAGTTTAGGCGCTAACTTTGAACAATTTTATAGCTTTAAAGAGAATGGTTAATAAAAAAATTGAAAAGTTCTCACATGATTTTGCACGTGTCACATTATTACGTGTAATTGGTAATTGAATCAATTGAATCTTATTGAATCTTATTTGAATCGTATTGAATCTTATTGAATCCTATTGAATCTTATTGAATCTTATTGAACCTTATTGAATCTTATTGAACCTTTTTACTAGAGGTACAATCAAATCAGAGTGTAAATATGTAATTTTTTGATTATCCCGGATCAACCCGACATAAGAAATCAACCCGACATAAGAAACGAATGTTTAATAAGCTTTGTGAAACTAATTAAAATTGAAAACGTATTTTATATAATTTTTAATCCTAATTTTCTAATTTTAATCCTAATTTTCATCCTAATTTTCATTCTAATTTTTAACATTCTAACTCAATTTTTTTATTTTTCGCCAAATTTCTCATTTCGGATTTGTATTACTCTCACAGATAAATATTTCATGAATGCACCTTCCATAAATGCAGCCTCAAAATCATAACACCTTCTAAATAAATTCTCTATAAATGCCTATAACGGCCTATAACGGCCCATAACGTTGATATTGTCTTTTTAGTCAATGGTTCAATTGGTGATGTTTGGCTATATATGGAACGATGTTTTGAATCCTTCTATCAGAAGCTACCTTTCCCCGTTGTACTAAAAGTTACTTTCGAGACTTTACAGGTCTCGTATAATCCATAAATTAACGGTCTAAAATTGGTAAAGAACTTCAATGATTTGTCAATGAAGACCTTCAGGGTTATTAAATTTAAAATTACGTTATGTAACTTACGTAAGTTACCATAAACTTACATCATAATTACGTAAGATATAATAATATTTATTAATTTAATAACTATGTTTAAATCTTAAATTGAAAATAATTTTTTTTAATAAAACATGAAAGAAATAATTCCTAATTCATAATCATATGTGTAAATCATTATTTTAGGTCATCAATTTTGTAAGTCACCAACATGGTAACTATGATAAGGGAAACACAATAGCGCCAAGCTTGTGAAAGCCGACGGATTTTCATGATCGATACATCTTATACCTTACAATCGCATGTACACATGAGCATAATTTTTGGATCCCTGTTCACCTGTCACATAATTTCTTTTGCATATTAATTGGTATCTTACCGACAGTGGTCTTATTCAAATCGGGAATATATGAATTGTTAGCAGGCAATACCAATTATCTGCTGTGTCATTGGAATTGATAAAACCGGCAAAATGGCCGGACCAAGCATAAAATTTGATGACTAATCTTTATTAAGAACAAATTTGTTTCGCATGGTTCTAATAAATTTTTCTTATCTTTTTTTAATTTATCTTTCTATAAATGTTATCTAATTTAATGTAAATTTTAATGTTTAAATGTCTCGTTAAAAGATCATGTGGGAAGCGCGATTTAAATTAAACGGTTATTTGTTTTTCCTGTCACCATGATCTGGTTTGTTTTTATTTGGTTACTCGTTGTTAATCATAAGACTATTCTTTAAAAAATAAAACTTGAAACTGTCTAATGTCCGTAATGTCGGTCTACCTTTATTAAACTCTTACAAGCAAGGAATTATAACTTATGATATTAAAAAAGTAAATATAGCATACACGTATATGCGTAATATAAACAGTAAAAAGTCACGTTTTTTACCCATTTGCATTAAAACTTGGTTGACATGGATTTCATTAATCAATTTAATCAATTTAATCAATTATATACAATTATATACAATTAAATACAATTAAATATAACTAATATGACAATAGGAACACGAATACTCCTTTGATCCATTTATCGTGCAGTTCATGCAAAAAATTCAATATTAATCATTAAAACATAAAAATGAAACCACAAAACAGGACTACACTATGCAACCCTAAATATAAATATCGTACCCTTTTGAGGTAAAGCTTCCACACATACTTGCATTTTTTTTGTAAATCCATGCAGCATAGCATAGTACAATAATTTATATTTTTAACCCCACATGCGTCGAATTCTCATTTTAACAAAAGAGATTACATTTTCAAAATATGGACAAATAATATTTCAGGGTTATTTTGAGGGACCTTTATTATAATAATATTATATAATAAGACGAAAATTTGAAAAAAAAAATGCGGTGTGATCATAAAATAAAAATATTGGTTAGTTAATTATTATATTTGATTGTTTCTTACTGTTTAGCAGGATTCAGACCATTTTCTCTGGTTATGACCAGTTATAATATTTACACAAAATAGATAATATTAATAAACCCAACAAAATTAATAACAAATTAATGCAAAGTCACATTACAAAAAAAATGAAAATTTTTCGCGGCGAATCATAATTAAAATTAATTATTTATGATCAGTTTATCAACAACCGGCATATTATCTGTAACACCAACAAATCAAACGATTGAAATATTACAAAAAACGAATTGAGTTGCATAATGTAATTAATTATACCCGGATTAAAAGTTAAAACAATTCGAGTACGAAAAAGACATTTACACCATCGAATCATTGATTTGCTTGGTTTACTTGATTTAATTTAGGTTCATTCAAACCTAAGTGAGACTAAGTGGGACTAAGTGGGACTAAGTGGGATTAAGTGGGATTAAGTGGGACTAAGTGGGACTAAGTGGGACTAAGTGAGAAGGGGTTAAGTGAGTGATAAACAGGTATCACACCATCCTGAATTTTAAATGTATGCTAATGATTTTTTAATTCACCGTTATATGAATACATGAAAATGATTTTTGTTACATTCTTCGTTAATCACGTTAATCACATAGGGTTAAATGTATGAGTGTATGAGATGATCAAACAAGAAATAAAATATTAATATATAAAATTAATGTTGCAAAGAATTAATGATAAAAATATAAAGGGAGAGCAGAATGTAGCAGGGTGTGTTTGAACTTTCAACTTTCTTTTGAATACGCACGACATTTGACGTCACGGATTTGTTGGTTACGCAAAGGGGTCATTATTATGCAAGAGATAGTTGAGATAATTGACGCGTATATTGGTGGTATGCTGGTGGTATGTTGGTGGTATATTGGTGGTATATTGGTGCTTGATGGGAAATGTCACGTATTCTTTAGAAAAACATTTTCAGACCGTTTTATCTGTCTATAAATGCTATGTAAAACCAAATTTAGAGATGTCTTTAGACATGTATTTAGGCATTTATTTAGACATTTATTTAGACATTTATTTAGAAATTTATTTAGACATTTATTTAGACATTTATTTAGACATGTATTTAGACATGTTAACAGAATTTCTTAATCCATTGTTGAATATAATTAGCAATCCAGTCTTCACGTGACAGAGGCGTTTAGGGGTTCAACTTTTTAGGTGACAAGAAAAAAAAAATGCAGATCAAGTCCAGAAGAAGATTTGGCGAAATTTCGAACACATTAGAAACATTAGAAACATTAGAAACATAAATATTTCGATCATGCATAAATTTAAAAGTATATAATATAAATGCTTAAATTTGCTCTAAAGAGCTCAGTCAAATCCGCATTTATTTATAACATTTATGCAAGATAAATGATTAACATTATTGCGGCATTGATGATAAGTAAATGTTTATTATAAGTATTTTTTGACAGAATATTAAATGAACTATATACGTAATCTTGATATTAGTGCATAAAATTTATTAAATTTATATTATTGTGTTCAACTGGATGAAGATATTAAAAATTCGACTTTCAGTTTGGTACAACAACCAAAAGTCGATCCGAAATGGTTATGAATAGATTTACGCAGAAATTGAATGAATATCATTGGTCAGATCACTTACTGGAACTTCAATGCGAATTTTATTTTGTGTTTGTGAAAAACAAAGTTGGAACATTATGTACGCGTATTTAATATAAATAAATCCACTGCTAGAAAAGGTTTACAAATTGTAAACGCACCTTCACAGTTGTGCTGAATGCGATACTTAATGCAGAAAGCCAACGCTGGCGAATTGCTCTTTCGGATATTATCACTGCGGAGATCGATTAATGAAAGTGTATTACGACATATGTATTACGGCATAAATTGGCAAGATTTTGTTTCATGATATTATTATAGCAAAACACGAGACTCTTATGTGAGATCCTCGTATGATGATGTTTAGAATTCATCACAATAATCACCTAATATTGATTGGTTCTGGTGATCTAACCCTCTTGGAACATATAACATTGTTTGTTATGCTAATTGGTCCCACAGCACTTTGATTTGTCCTAAGAATTTCCCCGTAATATTTATTGGTCCATTCTATATAACGGTGATAACATTTGTATCCTAATATCACATCATATATATATACATACACATATATATATCATTATATATATATCATATATATATATATATCATATATCATATATGTACGTAGTAGTTCACAATCCTTAGTTCCCGGACAATGAACTAAAGTATATGTAGTATATGTGCATTTAATTAAAAATTGATATTTAAAAAATGAATATTAATAATACTAATAAATATACTAATATCATTATACAATCACACAGTTTATTTTGAATGACATCTTGCCCATTTCTTCGGCATATTTCTTCGGCATAAATGTTGTGAGTCCAAAATTATGATTTGCAAACACTAAATAAAATAAGAATATTTGTTATTATATTTGTTATCTTGACTGGTTATATCACTACCGGTAATAACATAGTGACTGGCCTTTCTTGAAATAGTAATAAAAAAACAATTTCCGAATTCCTTCGTGTAATAAATTTGAATCATATTTCATCATATCCTAAAAATGATTGATTGGCGCAACGTCTTTTCCATTAAGTTTTTCTTGGGACTTGAGTAAATGCTATCACTTTTGAATTAACTGCTTACAGACGCCTCGATGCCTCTTATGTCAATATATTTCGGATAAAAAACAATTCAATAATTCCTTTTAAGATAATTCGGAAGCAATGATGGTCATTAATCGCTGAATTTATACAGTTTCACAATTTGATTATCCACCTACACCGAATTTATATGCGAAGCAGAGGAAAATATGCATTAATATCATTAATATCAGAATATATCACATCTGCAATTCAACAAAAATATATATTTATCATTTGAAACAAGGAAATTGGCGCCTCCTCACTAAAATTCAAGGATCCGAATACCCAACCGGACAAAGGTACCTTGAAACTTTTTTTTTTTTTTTGATGATTTTAAAACTTTATAATTGATCGATCATACATGCTAAATTCTGATAAAACTCATTAATCGCATATAAATTGCAGTTATTTTTGTAAGTACTGTAAATTTTATACTATTTATATAGTTTAAATTAAAAATCAATTCAATTTAATAGAATTTAATATAATATATTGTACTTTAAAATTTATAAAGGAAAATATTTATATAAAGATCTCATCATCTTCCCCAAGAATTCGCGTTTTCTCAACAGAATATCTTTTTAAGAATCAATTCATAAATTTAAATATTTTGATTTCTTGTAAATAAAAGTGGATTGTCTTTCTATTACTTTTCACTTTTCGCTTTATTATTTTCGCAAATTTTTTTTTTTTAAATAAAATATTGATAAATAAATAAATCCAAAGTTCTTTTGAAAAAAAAAATTTTTTTTTTTTAAACAAAATGTCAACTCCATATAAAAGTTTTCCTTTCATATCATCTATTATATCACCACCACCATCTCCTAAAAAATATCCGATCATTCTTCCTCCTCTGAAATTTCCTTTTGAATTTAGAAATGATGATACCGTCGATTCTACATCTCTTGAATCGGCAAAGCAACAAAATGCAGTTGAAAATTCTTTTCTCCCTCCTATAAAACAACAAAGTAAATACCGGATGCGTTTATTAGATGCTCCGACTGATCTCTTGGACTATATTGAAAAATCGAAACCAACAACTCGAACTCCACCATCACATTGTCTTTCTAGATTCTCTTTGTCTAACGCAAAGTCTTCTCCCCTTGAGTTGAATCATGTAGCTCCTCCGTTAACTCTTGGTGGTAACATTTCATCATATCCTATTGCGATGCCTATTAATCAAGATAAAAATGATCTAACCACTCATAAGATCTCGGCTGGTCGTAATCGAAATACTCGTAAGAATCCTTATCCTCTTAGAGCACCTACTATGAGTTCTCCAGGAATAACCTTTAAAGTTGATATGTACACACCCGTTTTAAAAGATCCTTTGGCGATTTTACGCAGTAATGAAGAACCTAAAAATAATACTAGTACATCAGAATTTTTTGGAATGTTGTCTCCACCAGCATCTGAACAATGCGAATCACAACCTTCTTCTCCTCCAGCTGAAGATGCAAACTTTAAAATTCAAGAGTCAAATTCATTACCAGTTCGTCAATTATTACCAAGAAAACCTAAACGTCCCAAGAACACTCAAACCAAGCGTTCAGGTACATCGGCACCTCAACGCAAGAGAAAAGGAAATAACATAACAAGAAAAGACAAAAGAAGAGATCACTTCGAACGATATTAAGTCAGTTCGAATACCTCCACCACCTTCAATGCAATTTGACGAATTAATGTCTAGCATCAATGCGCTTAGTCTCGACACTAGTATTTTAGAAAAGATGTCACCAGAAATTACTTGGAAGGGTCAACCGTTATCTATCGCACATTTACCTCATTATGATGCTTTACATCCTACAGAAGCACATGTGGTATCTGTTCTCCGTCTCAC